GCGAGCCGCCTCCCCGGGACCGATGCCGAGGTTTCTCGGTGTCTTTGTTTCCCTTCTTCCCGCCTCGGAGCAGAGGGGCGGCGAGGGCTCTGCCGCGTCTGAGTCCTCTCGTCCTCGCTTCTGCACCTGCCTCAGCCGAAGGCATCTACAACCACAAGATGCATTTTTAAACGGCGTTTTCCCTTTGAAATACTTTCAGAATCTGAAACGAGCTGCGAGCGGCGCAGCAAACTCCGCAGCGCGCCGTTCTCCGGACGCCTCCGGACGCGGACGCCGCCTCCACCGAGAGCGGCCGCTGCAGCCCGGGCTCGTCGGTGCTGGCCCCGCTCTCTTTAGACCCCCGCCTCGGGGCCCGAGCTGCGCGCCGGTCCTCGGAGCCTTTACTCTTCCTCTTTTGAGTACTAAGCTGCACCCAGCCTCTTTATTATTTTGTATTTTGGGACAAGGTTTCATTGAGGCGTGCACTTGCAGAGGTCAGTCTTGAACTTGTGATCCTCCTGCCTCGGCCTCCCTGAGTGCTGTGGTCACAGGTCCGCACCATCCCACCAGGCTGGGCTTTACTTTTTTCACGCCTCTTCCTCCCCCTGCGTGGCATCGTCCTGCAGCGCATTTCCTGTCCTTGTCTCTGTACCTGCTGTGGTGTCTTCACCGTGGTGTGCACTGCAGTTCGAATAAGCTTGTAAAGTGCAGACCTGATGGGGTTCTGCCTGTGATGTCACATTGGCCTGCATCAGGTGTTCCCTCACAGTGATGGAACGGGGCAAGTGCAAACCCCTTGGGTCACGCTGTGTGCAGGCCAGTCGGCACCTTGTTCTGTTCTTCCTGGTCCCGACATGTCTTCGCTTCACCTGGCCATGTGCCTTGTCCATCTTCCTCCTGGTGGGTGATAGGCGGAGGCCCGAGGCATTAGTGTGGCCCTGGGCTTTCCCTGATAGGAGGAGGAGGACGCTAGGGGCCACCTTACTGCCCCTGACTGCGCTCAGGTGGATCTCTCAGTCAGGGTGGGTGACGCCTGCCCGGGAAGGGTCAGTGGAGACAGAGGAGAGTGGAGACCCGAGGTGCCTTATGTGAGGCCGACCAGGAAGCAGAGCAGGGAGACGAGGAAGATGGGGTTGAGGTTTGCTTTTAGTCTTCGCGGAGGCTTTGACGTCTCACCTGCTTGATTCTCAGCAGCACCGGTGGGCTGTGGGCGGGGCTGGCCAGGCCGGGCCTCCTGGTGAGTGGCTGAGCGGGAGGAGGGCCGACGGGGGTCATCAACACGACCTCCCTGTGAGTGGCTGTTGTGTGCACACGGCTGGGGGAGAGTGACTTGGCCTGGAGCAGGCAGTGCCAAGGGACTGGCCTGGGGCGGGGCGCTCTGAGTGACTTCGAGGGGCCCTGGAGCTGCAGCTGAGCCTGCAGGTGGGGAGGGGCTCTGTGGGGAAGTGAGGCCGGAGCTGTGCGTCCATGCAGTGGAGGTCAGGAGGTGGGAACGTTCAGTGGAGTGCCGCGGACACCTGTCTCTGTGTTCGGCCTCTTGTTGTGAGTTGTGTACCGTCCGCATCTCCCTGTACAGCATCCGGTCACTGGAGGGCACAGCTGGCAGTGCAGAAGAGCTCCGGGTGTTGTACTGACGGCGCACCGCAGACTTTAGTAATGCTGGTGCGGTAATTCTCCAGAATGGCGCTGGGACGTTAGATGACAGACAGCCCTGCTCTCTTGGAACTTGTAGAACGCTCGCTGTATTGTACTGAAATGGTCGAAAAGACAGCTTACGTTAGTGGGAAGCTGAATTTGCTTCTGAGCCCAGGTAGTTACAGATGGCTTTTGTAGGACAGCTGAACATCCTGAAGGTGAGAGACAGGCTGGAGTCAGGAGCGACCCGCGCGGCGCGGCACCTCTGTGCCCCAGTGCCCTTCTCCCAGGGGGCCAGTGAGCCCTGGCACGGCCCCGGGGCTGCCCTGCTCCCCTGTGCTGAGCATTGTTCAGGGAAGGCGGGGAGGAGGCAGGGCAGGCTTGCGGTGTGGCGGTGCCCCTCGGGCAGGAGGGACGAGCAGCAGGGAGCTGGTGCTGCTGTCTCCTTGCTGGTGCCGGTGAGCCAGGCCAGGTGAAGAGAACGCACAGGGAGGTCGGTGTCTCCAAGGGTGTTGGCCTGTGCAGCCGTCCCTGTGCCTCGCTGGTGCTTCCCCCTGCCTGGGGAACATGGGAGCGTGGGCCCTGAGGTGCTGCTCCGCAGCCGAGCCGTGGTGAGGCCCTCCTCATCGCCCCCACGGCCTGGCAGGTGCACGGGAAGCCGGTGTGGTTTGCCAGCTGTGTGCTCACAGCCCTGGTATTGGCGGACAAGCAGTCCCTTCAGTTTAGGTGGTTTTAGTTCCCATTTTAGTTCACATTTTTGTGATTTCTCTTCAAGTATTTACTGACCATTTAGGATTCCATCTGTGTGAATTCCCCTTTCATGTCTTCTACACACCTTTCCTCTCAGTGGGATAAAAGTCTGTTTCTCTCGTTGTCTTTCAGGAAGCCTTCATGTGGTGTCCCGGAGACTGGTGGTTTTCTGGCTGTGTGCATTGTGAACGTCTTCCATCAGGCTGTGGCTTTGGTTTCGGGTGTTCTGTTGATAGATGTTATATTAATTACCTGTTGCTGGATCAAGAATCACCCCACAGCTTCCAACCTGAAAGCAGCAGGCATTTAAGGTGTTCCACTGCCACCTAGTGGGAAAGGCGGACAAAGTCCAGTGCCCGGTCTCACACAGGACTGCTGTCCCAGCCCTGGCCAGCCCCAGAAGTGGTCAGGCATCCTGTCTTGGCCCATGTGTGTTTTTGAGCTAGCATTGAGGAGGGGGCTTGTTTCTCCCGAGTACCCAGTTGGCCAGACAGCGTTTCCCGTGTGCACTGCCTGCTCCCTTCTGCTCCACGGAGAGCCTGAAGCAGGAGATGTTTCCACAAAGGTGATGAAGATGCCGTGGCTTTGCCGGTTAGGATGTTGTTTTTAAAACTGGTTCGTTGTCTTACAGCTTCCCGGACTGTGGGTGAGGACAGGCTCATCCTTCCCGCTCGGCATGGCGTCCGCGGCAAGGTAGGAGTGCTGTCTGGGGGAGTCTTGAGTCAGGGACACTGTTAGCTCTGGGTCGTGCTGGCCTTGGGCAGCAGTGCTCAGAGGGCAGAGAGCAGGCGGAGGGAGGGGAATGAGGAGAGACGAGGCCATGGAGCGTGCGTGGTCCCTGTGTGTCCGCTCCACACAAAGCCCCTTAGCTCTCCTGTCCCTCCAGACACAGACACTGGGGGCCACCCGGGGCCACCCCAGGCCCTGGCAGCTTGCCGGGGGCAGAGTGAACCCCTGCCCCAGGGAGGCATTTTGGCGTCTGGGGTGAGCAGGGCAGGGCAGTGTGGCTGAGAGGGTGGCCGCAGCCCTGAGAACCTGTCTCCTGGGCCCACACAGCTCGGATGATGACGACCTCAGCCTCCCCAGGCTGGGGGTTGGGTCTCTGTCGGCCTGCACCTTCCCGGGGTGGAGGGTCCTCAGCATGGACCCTGAGGGCTGGGCTGTAACAGGTCCCCGTGCCAGGCCCCTGCAGCCGTTCCCAGGTCAGAGGACCCTGTCACAGCCTGGGTCCAAGCGCTCCTGTTGGAGGTGGTGTTCCTGTGGCATCCGGCCCCCCCGCAGTCCCGGGCAGGCCCCGGAGCGCTCTGCAGCGGTCCCCACGGCCTCTCTCCCAGCCTTGACGACTGTCTGAGCTGGACTGTCACGCTGGGGGCTTGCCGTTTGTTGTCTGTGCAGCCAGCCCTCGGCAGGCTGGGCCCACTTCACTCCTCAGGCCGCCCCTGAGCGTTTCCCTCGGCGCCCCCTGTGGAGGGAGGCCCTGCTCTCCCGCCTCGGAAGCTTTGTCTTTGCTCACAGGCCTGCTGCTGGATGGCTCTGTCACGTGTGCGAGCTGGTTCGGAGCCTCCGGGTGGGCATGAGCCTCGCCCCTCCACTTGCCTTCGCCTCCGGGCGCACGGGGCTTGGCCCAAGGCCTCCTGCCTCTCACTGCTCCGGAGTGGCGGCACTGAGCTCCCAGTGAGGAGCCGCCTGCGAGGCTGCCCGCTCAGTGCCTGGGTGTGGGTGATGAGCATTCTGAGGGGGGCCTGAGAGTGGGGAGCGAGGGCAGCGTTTCTGTCAGGTAGGGGTAGGTAGGAAAGCATGGTAGCAGCAGCCCCAGGACCACTAAGTCTAGGCCAGCAGGAGTGGGGGTCCAGGCCCCCAGGTTTCCTGAGGGAGTCGCTGTTCCCTCGGTAAGGGCAGACGCGTCCAGCGCCATTTTGAAGGAAGCTGTCTCCTGGGAACACCTCCTGTGGGAGGAGAGGATGTAGAGCCTTTCACCCTGAAAAACTAGTGCATGTAGAAGTCGGTTCACACGGACCGGGAACCCCTCCCGGCCCTGTGCCTGGTGACCGAGACCGAGGCTGCCCGTTCTGAACTCCCTCAGCGCGGTGCTCCGCAAAATCGCGCTCCCGGAGGGGCCTCTGCCTGACCGTGTTCCCTTCCGTTGCAGAGGTGTCCCTCCCGGGAGAAATGTCCGCCCCAAGGCCAAGGCCGCCAAGCTGCTGGAGGTTCTGAGTGCTCTGGAGGGGGACGACTCAGGCAATGACAGGGAGGAGATATTCATCGCGCCCCCTGACAACGCCGCAGGGGACTTCACCGACGAGGACTCGGGAGACGAGGACAGCCGGCGAGGGCCCCAGCTGCCCGGCAGCGTGCTGCACGCCTCAGTCGTGTCTGAGGACTCGGGCAGCGGGGAGGACAGTGACGAGCTGGCGCTGCAGCCGGCCCCCAAGAGGCAGAAGGCCGGGATGGAGGCTCAGCGCGTCTGGACCAAGAGGGACATCCAGCCGGACTTCGGCAGCTGGACAGCGTCAGACCCTCACATCGAGGACCTCAAGAGCCAGGAGCTGAGTCCCGTGGGCCTCTTTGAGTTGTTTTTTGATGAAGGAACAATTAATTTCATTGTTAACGAGACCAATCGTTACGCTCGGCAGAAAAACGTCAACCTGGGCCTCACGGCCCAGGAGCTGAAGTGTGTTCTGGGCGTCCTGATCCTGAGTGGCTACGTCTCCTACCCCAGGAGGAGGATGTTCTGGGAGACCTCTCCCGACTCCCACCATCACCTCGTGGCTGACGCCATCCGAAGGGACAGATTCGAGCTGATCTTCTCCTACCTGCACTTCGCAGACAACAGTGCGCTGGACGAGAGCGACCGCTTCGCGAAGGTCCGGCCGCTCATCGCCCGGATGAACTGCAACTTCCAGAAGCACGCGCCGCTGGAGGAGTTCTACAGCTTCGGCGAGTCCCTGTGCGAGCACTCTGGGCCGCGCAGCTCCCGGCGGCTGCGCTCCGTGCGGCTGGGCCACAGGCTGTGGTGCGGGACCACCAGCAGGGGCTACCTGGTGTGGTTTGAGCCCTCACAGGGCACGCTCTTCACCAAGCCGGACAGGGGCCTGGACCTGGGCGGCAGCATGGTCGTCAGGTTCGTGGATGCGCTTCAGGGGCGGGGCTTCCTGCCCTACCACATCTTCTTTGACAAGGTTTTCACAAGTGTCAAACTGATGTCCATTTTGAGGGAAAAGGGCATTAAGGCCACAGGAACCGTGCGTGAGCACAGGACGGATCGGTGTCCCCTCAAAGATCCCAGGGAGCTGAGGAAGATGAAGAGGGGCTCCTTTGACTACAGAGTGGACGAGCGCGAGGAGATCATCGTGTGCCGCTGGCACGACAGCAGTGTGGTCAACATCTGCTCCAACGCCGTGGGCATCGAGCCCGTGCGGTTGGCCCGCCGGCACGCAGGCACGGCCAGGGCACGCGGGCAGGTCCACCAGCCATCGCTGGTGAAGCTGTATCAGGAGAAGGTGGGCGGCGTGGGCCGGCTGGACCAGAACATCGCCAAGTACAAGGTGAAGATCCGAGGCCTGAAGTGGTACTCCAGCTTCATCGGCTACATCATCGACGCCGCCCTCAACAACGCGTGGCAGCTGCACCGGATCTGCTGCCCGGACGCGCAGGTGGACCTGCTGGCCTTCCGCAGGTACGTGGCCTGCGTGTACCTGGAGAGCAACGCCGACACGTCCTCGCAGGGCCGGCGGGGCCGGCGGCTGGAGACCGAGAGCCGCTTCGACATGATCGGGCACTGGATCGTCCACCAGGACAAGAGGACCCGCTGCGCCCTCTGCCACTCGCAGACCAACACGCGCTGCGAGAAGTGCCAGAAGGGCGTGCATGCCAAGTGCTTTCGGGAGTACCACACCTGCGGAGGCGCCGAGGCGCGGGGCGCACAGCGAGGCGTTGACGCGCGGTGACCGGAGCCCGCGGAGCGCTTCGGCTTCTCTTGTGTTGGAAGGAAGACCGAATCCCTGTTGATTTGGTTTTGTATTTTCTCCCCATCCCTGTTATAGTTGTCTATTTTATTGTATGCTATTGTGCCTACTTGTAGTATAAATTAATATTTATGTTAGTATGCTTACAGATCTGTATTTTATACTGTTATTTTTTGAAACTTATTCAAATAAAATTTTGCTTTGGGGTAGATTTGAGTTCTAGTAAGGAGGATCAAAGAAGAACTTACATAAACAGTAAAAAGATTATACTGTTATGTGCCATGATTTATAATCTGAGGTATAGGCAGTAGTATATTAAATATCATAGTGATACAGTGACGGATTTCTTAGTGATATTTATCTCATATAGCCTAAAACTATCAAACTTTCCACAGAGAGTCTGTCTTGTGTTTGTTCAAAAAGCTAGAGTTGCAAAGTTCATATATTTTGATAAAAATATTTTCCTAATTACATATATCCATGTGGAATCTGTTTATATAAATACCATGTGGTAGGGATCCACTTTTCCCCCCCCCACATAATTTGTTAAAAGAGAAATATATTTCTTCACTGAAATAAATACTTCACTTGGAATATTTGAATTCCACCTTTAAAATTTTCTGAGCTTAGGGAAAATGTACTGAAATAAGGAAATAGTTTTATGTTGGAAAACTTGGTATGTTAGGTCCCAGCACTCTAGGAGGCTGAGGCAGGAAGATCACAAGTTCAGGCCCAACCTGGGCAACTTAGTGACTTAGCAAGACCTTGTTTCAAACAAAAATTAAAGGGGCTGGGTTTGTAACAGCGTGGAAGTCTCGGGTCCAGTCCATCATACTGCACCAAAAAACAGCAAAAGGAAAGCCAGTCTTCAAGTTCATAGGGAATTTGTAAGGGCCTCCAAATAGCCAAGACAGCCTTGAAAAAAAGAGAACAAAGTTGGAGCTTTGATGGCAGAGTTACAACTGCAGTAATAAACACTGTGTCACTGGCATAAAGATAGACACAGAGACAAGGAAATGGAATGCAGAGCGTAGAGACAAATGGTCAGTTGATTTTGAACAGTGGGGGGAAATATTCTCGTGAACAAATGGTGCTGGAATGATTGCATATTCATAAGCGAGAGAAAGGAGCTGGACCCCTTCCTCACACCGTATATGGCAGTTAACTGAATGTGGACCAGTAGCTTACACACTGAAGACGTAAATCTAAAGGTTTGGGCATATCAGTGACCTCAGAGCAAGTTGTGTATTTTTTCTTTGGGAAAGAACATTTGAACAACAGGACAAACAAAAGAGGAATATTGATGGAATCACCTGTTAACAAGGTGTTCATTCACTGTCCAATGGCAGAGAAATCTTTGTAAATCCTCAGTGAATAAAGACCTCATTAACGTAGATGGCAGAGAAAAGTGTGCCAAATTAAATAAAAAGAAATGAGGAAAGATGAACAGTGAAGATACGCAAGAGGCTGCTGTGGTGTCAGTAAAATGCAGAGGAAATGACAGATCCTTTCCATCAGATGTGCTTGTTCCGTATAGGTCATTCCTGGTGCTGTGGCTGTGGAAAGGTGGAGACTCAGGCAGTAGCTGCGTCAGTGGACACTTGAGTAGTTGTCATATCAGGAAGATGTTTTTTGAGGAAATTCTCTGTTCAGCTCTCTTGTACCACATTGGTCAGGAGTGTTTGCAGATTCTGAGCCAGGAACGTTCATCTCACTGATGTCGAAGAGGATGATCTCTAGCAACATGGAAACTGCTGTAAAGCTTCCAGCTACACATGGCCAGTTGTGACTCTTTTGTGGGTTGAGGGAAATGCCAGCGTGGCATGGACAGTTTGAGGATGTGGGAGTGGGGACAGGCTTTCCCAGGCCATTAACAATCTAAAGCTAATATCCGGCAGGAGCCTGCTAGTGTCAACAGCACCCTGGCTGTCAAGGCCAGATGCTATCCTTGTAGCCGTAAGCTCCAGGTGAACCTAAGGACAGCAAAGGAGACTGGGGGTCAACAAGCATACAAGGAGGGAGACACTGAAATGCTGTCTGTTCTTCCCCACAGCTCTACGGAAATGATAACTCCAGAAGATGTGGCAGTCATGCTGGTTATTGTAGATGGCTTTTCCACCATGTTTCTAATAAGTGAGGCACAGCTGAAAAGCTTGGTACGTGTTGATGGCAGACTGGCAACCCAGACAGAATGGAAGCTTCTCACAACAGTGACAGTGGCTGTCAGGCCTTAAATTACCTGAACAGCTATAAAAAGAATTGTGGTAAAAAATAAAATGGGCTTAAGTACACAGTTCAGAAGTGTGTTCATGTTGTGCAACACACCTCTTGGAAGTCTTTCATCTTGCACATCAGAGACTTTACAGACACCATCCCATCTCCCCCACTCCTTAGCCTCGGTTACCACCATTTTACTGCTGGGTTCTGTTGGACTCCTTTAGGGAGTCCAACGTGTGTGGAATGTGTGGAATCAGATGGTCCTTTTTGTGGTTGGCTTATTGCACTTGGCATGATGCCAAGGTTCATTCATGTAGCATAGGACAGGGTTTCATTTTTTAGAAAAGGTGAATGATAGCACTCTATATATACACGTTTTCTTTACCCATTTATCCATTCGTGGACTTGAGTGGCTTCCTCCTTTTTGCTCTCATGAAAATGCCTCTGTGAACATGTGTAGGTGATTAGCTCTTCTGTATCTTGCTTTTAATTTCTTTTTGGCTCTATACCCATTAGTGGGATTACTAGATCATATGGAAATTCCATTTTACATTTTTTGAGGTTGGGGATATAGTTAGTGGGGTCCTGGGTGAAATCCTGGCATGGAAAAGAAAAAATTTCCTGGAGAGGCACAAGGAGGTCTGTTAGAATTGGAAGCACACAGTCAGAGTAGTCTGGGGCCATTGAAAGAGGCATAGTGTAGCCTGGAGCTGGGGAGACTTAGGAGGTTTGGTGGTGGAAGCCTGTGGAATTTGTGAAGTTACAGGAAGTTTGGGCTTGGTTTCCAGGAGAAAAGTGGTGATTCCCCCCAGAGGTAGACAGTGACTGAAATTTAGTGGTGAAAGGACAGCCCATTTTGTAGGTGAAGGCATAGGCCCAGTCTGTTGTATTTTTTTAAAGATGGGTGTTCTCTTTTCCCTGAGAACATTCTTTGAAACCTTTTTCCATCTCAGGTCAAGTTTCTGTTCTTTACCTTAGGAACTAAGCTAATGATGGACTCAGTATCTTTGAGGGATTTTGAGTGTGATGAGCCTGGGAGAAAACCCAGACCCTCCTAAGAGTACACAGCCTAGGAGGAAGAGGAGTGCAGTTGTGGAGGGCCTTGGGGCACGTCGGGTCCTGAGGCTGCTGTCTTGAGTACAATTTTGGAAGTGTGGTTTTTCTCATCTCCTTAGCTATCTTATTCTACCTCATCCTCCCCCCTTCCCCCATTTTGATCTCATCTTAAAGGACGCAGGGGATGGAAGGGCCACCTTCTTATGCCTACTTCAGGAAGGGTGGGGGCGCTCACCCTGCCTGGCCAGGGGTCGTCCCATGCTGACTGATCTAAAGAAGATGGATCCTGATCCGTGAGCGATCATCCTTTCATAACCAAAGTTGACACCTCAGTGCCTTGTTCATTTCCTGGCGGGCTTCCCAAGGGGAATGTCACAGCTGGGCCTGAGGAGGGTTCTCAGGTGGGATTGGGGAACCTGGACTCATCCATAGGGAAGGGTATTGGGTCATCAGCTTAGGCCACAGAAAACGAATTTTCCGAATGCATCAGTGAGAGGCATAAAGAGGTTTATTAGAAGAACTGAAAACACAACTCAGAACAGAGGGCCCTGGGCGTCATGGTGCACCCCTGTAGTTCCAGCGTTCGGGAGGCTGAGCCAGGAGGGTGGCACAAGTTTCATGCCAGCCTGCATCGGGAGACCTGTCTCAAAAAAAAAAAAGGCACTTAATTTTTTTTTTTTTTTTTTGTGTGTGAAACCTCCATTCTGTTTTCTGTAACAGCTGCACTATTTTACAGTCCATCAGTAGTACACAAGGGATTTAATTTTTTCACATCATCACAGGCATTTGTTATTGTCTGTTCTTTAGATAGTGGCTTTCCTAGTGGCTGTACAGTGATAGTTACTGACTTGCATTTTCCTGGGATCGGTGCAGTTAAGTGTCTTTTCCTAAGCTCACTGGACATTTCTTCATCTTCGGAGAAAGGTCTATTCAGTTGTTGCTTGTTTCAGTCAATTTGTTATTGAATTGTAGGAGTTCTTTATATATTCTGCTATTAACTTGCAAGTATTTTCTTCCATTCTGTAGATTGCTGTTTCATTCTGTTTATTTGTTCTTTCGATATGTGGATATTTTGTGCTGTTGGGGTTCCATTAAAAAAGCCACTGCCAAATCCAATGACACCAATATTTTTCTGTTTTCTTCTAGGAATTGTATAATTTTGAGTTTTATATTTAGGTCTTCAGTCTGTTTCAAGTTAGTTTTTCTATGTGGTATAAGGGAAGGCTCCAACTCCATCCTTTTGAATGGAGATAGTTTCCCCAGTACCTGGGGTACCCGTCTCCTCATGGAGCCGCATGCCGGTTATTCTGGATGAGGCATATGGTCATCAGAGCCACCTGGCTCTCACCTGGACTCAGGTCCACACATTTGTGTAGTGCAGAACATACTGTTAAGGCACAGCCACACATTTTCTGTTCAGCTGGACAGTGACGTGGCGGGTGGGGCAAGAATGTCGCTGCACTGCTGAAGAGTTTGGAGTTTTCAACAAGCAAGAGAGCCCCGAAAGTTTTTTAGAAGTGAGACAGAGATGTGCTCAGAGAGCCTTTGGCCAGGAAAAGACACTGGCAGTCCTTCCAGGAGTGCCCCCTCTGCCCTGAACAACTGCTGCCTTCATCAGTTTATCAACTAACCTGAGCAGGCAACTCCCATGCAAATTAAGAGGGTTGGTGCATGTCCCAAGCTACCGTCTCTCCAGTAAGGAGATCACAGCTCCTCCTGCACGCCCCGCTGGCGGTGCCCCTGGGGAGGGCGGAGGGACTCATCCTACACCTCCAGGGTTACCAGTACCCTCTGGGCTGTGAGTGTATGCAGTGTGGAAAGAATACTGGCCAAACTCTGCTCATTACGCACACATCTGCCTTTGCCTAACTAGTGGCCCTGGTTCCAAATAGACCAGGGAGCAAACCCAGGGCTATGCCAATTGAAGCCTGCTGGACCCAGGAGAGTATGCTGGCTTAACGAAATCCTGAGACTTTAATTACTCTGAGTCTCCAGACAAAAGAGCTTCATGAGAAAGCAAAAAGAAACACATGGTCCTGTGGATGCACTGTTCCCCGGTCTGGACAAGCCTGACCAGCCAGGGCTGCCCTGGGCTCTTCCCATTCACCACTCAGCAACAGCGCAGAGCTCCCGGTCCCTGAGCACACGGGGCTTCCGTTGACAGGAGCTTGGCTTCTGTACACACACGACTTTTCTCTTTCCTGAGGCTGAATTTCATCATCATAAAGTCTCAGAGAAGGGACAGTTCTTCCAGGCACACTGGCCTAAACCTCAGTATCAGGCTACCTGCCTATCTTCGTTGCTTTTCCTTTCCTGATACACCTACACCGTCACCCTCTGGCACTGGAGAAATGACCTGCGTATGGGTTCATATCACCCACCCCTGGGAACTGTCTGAGCCATGGTTATATAGGTTTTCCATCTCTGAAATTGAGAAAAGTTCATACCCTGTTTGCAGTTCTTCCAAGTTCCTTAGATATAAAGGCTCAAGAAACTCCAGTGCAGTGTGGTTAAAGTGACCCAGAGACAGGACTTTCTAATCTAGCCAGGTGACTCCATGGAGTTAAAACAAAAAGCCCAGGTGGGCTGATTGCAGTCTGACTTCAGACTGGGGCTCATGTAGTTGATGGCACGTAGGCACGGAGCGGCGTGTTTCCCATCAGCAGGCACCGGGGAGCAGGAGCATTGAGATGGCTAAAACCACCTCCCGACTTTTCACACTGTACAGCAGCAATGATGGGAACCCAGCTCCTTTCTCCAGTGGGAAGGCAAACAAATGGGGGTGTGGTAATACACCTCAGTAACCTGTGGGAAAATGTAGGATGGGAGGGAGAATATTAAGATCATAAACAAAATGCTTCAAGAGGTTAAGTTTATATAATACATACCCTCAGACTGTGAAAAATTTCCCTTAAAAAAACCCCATATTTAAGAAAAGAGCCATTTTCCCTTTACCTCACCCTCACTCTCACCCAGGTCTTAATGTCTCTTATTGCTCTTGTATCTTTTGAAGTTCTCTGCTCTGTTCAGAATGTTAGGGATGGGGTGCACTAAGCCTCAGCCTCCCTTACACACATCTAGAGAAAGATATCCAATTACAGGAGAAGGAAGAGATTTCTCTCAGATGACTTTGGTCTCCATGGAGACAAGTTTTGACAGCTCTGGACTCTGCCTGGGCTTGGGCTGGCCTTTCTTGGCTGAACTCCTGAGTTTAGTTGGTTATGCTTCCTGGTGACCAGAAGCCTGCTGAGGAGGGAGTGACTCCAGCAACAGTGAATGAATGGGTGGATGGGTTATACCTGGTGATCATCTTTCCGAAGTTTTCTCTTGGTTATCACAAAGAACACAGCTTCCTTCTGTCTGTGCTTGGAGGATGAGGGTCCTTAAACAATTCAACTTGTGTGATGCTGTTAGACTTTCAGAGTAAGTAAGACATCAAGCCTCCGTTGGGGGGATTCCTCCTTTTTCCCTGCTGAGAAGATGGCTCTCGCACACTGCTTGTTGGAGTGGGGGTCATAGCACTTTGTGTAGTGAATATGGCACAGTAGGCACGGTTGTGGCCTTGCCCAAACGGTTCTATACTTCCCTGTGACACACTGAAGCAGGCGATCAGCCTGGTGCCTTAAGGATCTTTGTTTTGATCTGCTGGGTAGGGCATTTAAAACTTTCCTGTCTTGTTTAATTAGGAAAATAATGATTGCATTAAAAATACAACTGATGGTCAAAAATTCAGCTTTATTCCAGAACTACAAATGCTCCAGTCTGATGGCCCATACCTTATGAGCAGATTCTTGTGGGGAAAATCATGTCTTTCTATTTATTTACACAGTCACTTTCAAGAACACCGTGGTTTCTACTCCCTGCAAAGATAATTTACATTAGCCCACGGTAAGAAGAATGTCTTAACGCTTTGCTACTTATCCAAGTGTTATTTGATAATTCCTTTCATTAGGGAGCTGAGCACACCTTAGCTTGTTCTCTTTTCCTAAATCCTTCAGCAAGACTGCAGTGGAAGTCCTGGTGATGTTAGAAGTTCATCTGAATGCTCAGCCAGGTGAAGGTCTGATTCCACACTTGAGTACTGTTGGCAAAGATCAGTTCCTTTCTTGTAACTCTTGGATTGAGACGCTCAGTTGTTGTTTGCTATTGGATGGGGGTTTCATTCAGTTTGTTGCTTTCCATGGGAGCAGCTTACTGCATGAAAGAAGAAGAGAGAGAGGGAGAAGGAGAGAGAGAGAGAGAGAAAAGGAGAATGAGTTGGGTGTCATAGTCTGTTTGAAACCTAATGCCAGAGGTAACAAGTGACAATAATCCAGCCTGGGTTTAGAGATAGATTGTAAAGGCCGTGAACATGGGAAGGTGAAGATCGTTGGGGTCATCCCTGAGGTTGCCTATCACAAACATTCTCTGAGTTCATTATATTTTTGCAGTACTTTTGGATTTTAAACTTAGACAGTGTCTTTAAAAAATAATTTGCTCATCTCCAGTGACTTTTTATTGCTATTATTTTAGTGATAAACAAAATTGAGCAAATGATTAATAGGCATCAGATCCCCAGCCAAGATAACAGTGAAGGAACCATGTATGCATCTACTATTGCACTGATTTTTGAGTAAATACTCAAATATTGAGTTTTTACTTTCAGGGTTTTGCTGTAAGTTATTGCTGGAATAATTTTCCAGTTACTCACATGGATTCTTTTAATTTAGGTCGCCTAGGGAACAAAGATGCTTTTAGTCAGTGTAAAAGTACTCACTTTCATGAATAAGGAGTATAAGGAGATGCTTAGAAAGTCATGAATATCACTAATTTAAGTTTTAAATTATTACTTATGGTTCACATGTGGAGTTTTAATCATCTAGGACACACAGAAAATGTGACAGACTTCAGTTTCACATATTTATAAATTTCATTACAGTCAGTTAATTTAATCGTATTCACCTTTAACCCTTAAGCCTTGTGTAAAGATCTGTCCTTACTTCCCTTATGATTTTAGTAGGTCTATTCATTGGGAGGTCCAGTGACTTGATAGCCGCACTCTCCTCTCTGGAACGTTGAGCGTATGAATCATTTCAATCTGAATGCGAAGTGTTGCTAAGAGAGCAAGATGAGAAGAATCAGCAGTGGGGCTTGCATTCTGTTACAGATTCTGCTACTCGATTTAAACCTGGTATTAAACACACTGGCCTTGGTCATCGTCACTCTGCAACTATCCTCTTTTGGTTTTGAAACCTTGTACAGTATCATTGAGGTGTAGACTCAGACTTTTGTGTCCCAAGGCTTGCAGCCCCAACAAAATAGTGAACAGCTTTATCAGCAGAGCGCTGTGTACTCACTCTCGACATCTGGCAAGTTCCCACATCTGCGAACTCTTTGGGTGATGACGTGACAGGAGAGAGGGTCCTGAGGTCTGTCCCACTGAGGGCAGAGTCTTGAGCGTGACCTCCTTTCTTTTAGGCTGGATGAGGCCGTTGCCCTCTTGTTCCACCGTCTTCTGCTTGATTAGGCCCTATCAGAGACAGACGCATACAGGGCCCTGTGAGTAGCAGATTGTCTCTACAGCGTGGCACTGGGCTCTGGAGAAAGGACGACACGAGTCGAAGGTGTGGGCTTCTGAGAGTGGCATCTCTGGGCGCAGGACTGAGTGGGGAGGCAGAGTGTGTGGCTTCTAGCACCCTGCACACAAGCAGCACAGTTGTGGCCGCTCTTCCTTCAGCCTGGCTCCATGCTCTGCTCCTCCTCAGCCCCAAGGTGCTGACTTCTGGCCCGTGTGCCACCAAGTCACACATGTACCTTCAAAACAGCATCTCACTCACCCCTTGTTTAAATTTTTACTCTTCTGTTGACCATTCCTTTCCTTCCTACTCCGTATATCTGTGCTTTCTAATTCAACACAGGGCCCTCCCCCACAGTCCATATCCTTGTCCACTTTGCCTTTAACAGGAAATAAATCCTAATCTTTCTGATGCTTGCAAGAAGGAGAGAACAGACTGACTAATTATGATGGATGGAACATTTTTTATTCCCAGATTTTTACTTGGCTAGAAACTCATAATTCTAGGAGGTTTTGTTAATTTTTAAGGTAAAAAGTTAGAATTTTATCACTTTTTGTAAACTTAATTAATATATTTCATTTAAATGATTGTGTCAATAAAATGAGAAGATGTGGTTTGCTCCAGAGAAAAGTGGCTGGAAGGCGGTCCTGCTGGTAGGTAACTCACAAGATACAAAAACAGCTCCCAGATCCTCATTGAAAGTTTAGGAGTGTTGATAAAATCTTTTTCATCTCAGTCGAAGAAATAGGTTTCTGACTGCACTAAGATCAAACTGCTAATGCCGTGTTAACCTCCAGCAAGATAAATTTTATATTGTACAGGGGAATACTTCCCCCTTTCTGTTCATCTTACCCTGGTTTTCTAGTTTATATTACAAGTACGGCTTGAACAGCTTATGTGTTTTTCTAGAACTGTCCATTTTCTTAGGGATAATCCATCCAGGTAGACAAAAGTGACAGCTTTGTGTTGCCTTCCATACCAGAAAATCCAGACACTATTATCTAGCTGGGTGATTTTATGTGCTGAGAATTGTCTCTCGAGTTCTGGATTTCAACACACTGATGGAAGCATTGTTTTTCCCTGCACATAGTTGCCTTCAATGACAAGAACTCTCATCTGACATTTGTGTGGTGTCTTTTCCCAAGGTGCACATGGACGTGGACCCAGCGCTCTCCTCCAGCCCCTGTGGATCACTTGCTTATCCTGGGTCCTGCTCTGGGCTCAGTGCTGAACTGGCTGCCTGAGGGAACCTTGGCAGGTTCTTTCAATGGATTTAGCCATTGAGATTCATGTAGCTCTGCTTTGAGGGTGAAACAAAAAAGTGTATTTTTCTGAAATGTAGAGTCAATCAAAGTTCTTTAACTCACTTTACAACATGTAATCCTCTACAGCACAATGTCACATGGAGAATAGGAGTTATCTTCTCAACATTATATGTACTTAGAATGATATTCCAAGATCACACCAATACTTAGATTCTGGGATTAATGAGTTTGCACTGTAACAAATGTTTTATCTGAATATTCAGCATGTATAGATCACATTATGTATATAAACAATGCAATATTATTCAGCCATAAAGAGAGAGAAAATAATCACATTTGCAGGAAAATGTTGGATATGGAAACCATCACGCCAAATGACATTAGCCAGATCACAGAGTTAAGTGTCTCATGTTTCCTCTTATGTGGGACCTTCAAAAATAAGTAAGTAGAATAATGTATAAATGAAGTGAAAGAAAGAGTACAGGAGACCAGGGGTAGAGCTCTGGAGACAAGGAAGGTGACAGTGGAAGGGAGGAGGGAAGAGGGGGAGCTGGGAAAGAAACTGATAAAGATACCTTAGGTGCGTGTACCAACTTTCCAGAATAGATCCCATCATCACATAATATTAACACTCACTAATATTAAAAGATTCTATGAAATCCAAGAGAGGCAGAAAGTAAAATCTTGCATGTTTTATTAATGGAAAAACTTATTAATTAAATAGTTACATGAATAAAAAAATGAAGAAATGAGATATGTCAGGAAAGGAAGAGGTGGACTTTGGGAGATGGGAGAATTTAGTTTGGAAGAGGTAAGAATGTAGTTTGGGAGGGAGTAAAGGAATTTCATAAGATCAAGATATGTTAAATACATGAAGTTAATTTCCAAAATGATCTTTTTTTCTTTCTTTTTGTTTTAAAGAGAATAAAAAAATAAAAATGAAACACAAGTTTAAAACAAGATGATAGGAAATTAATAATGATTGTTACATTGCATCTTGTTATCCCAAATGATCTTTATATTTCCATATTAGTAACACATATTAATAAAATAGTAGCTACCAATACTGAATAAACCAGTTCAGTAAAGTTGCAAGGTGAAGATAATCAGTGTACAGAAACCAGCAGCATTTATACACTGACAAGGAACATGCTGTTGTGGGTTATACCTTGGTGTACCCCAAAACCTCTATGCTCTTGGTGGGGGCTTCTGGGAGTAATTGGGTCATGGGGGTGTGGTGCTCATCACTGGATTCATCTACTGATGGATTTGTAAGTAAAGGTGATGTTGGGAGGTGAAGCCTGTGGGAGCAGATCATCACTGAGTGTGTGGCCTGGAGGGTTTCCCTCCCTCCTCCCCACTTGATCTCTCTCTGCTCCCTGCTGCCATGCTTTGAGGAAGGCTCCTCTGCGATGCCCCTTTGCCATGCCACCCTGCTTTGAAGACAGCAGACTATGGACTGAGACCTCTGTGATCTGTGAGCCAAAACAAAGCTGTCCTCTATGTTGTGGATGTCAGGTTTTGTAGCTCGGCAAAGAGAACGAAGGCAACTACCCAAGACCATCTGTAGATTCAATGCAATCCTCAGCATAATACCTATAATGCTTTTTTTTTTTTTACATCAAGAGAGATAAACAATCTTAAAATTCACATGAAAGCATTACAAAAGACCTAGAAGAGCCTAAGTTATCCTGAACAAAAACAATAAATCAAAACTACATCAAATGTAACTGGAGCCATCAGAATAACAGGCTTCAAAATATGCCAGAAAATACAGAAGGCAATAAACCCTGCTACTAAAATAAAACCTGACACATGGACCAATGAAAGAGAATGGAGAACTCAAAAGGAAGTCTGCATTCCTACAGCAAACTGAGCTTGAGAAAGGCATCAGAAACACACAGGACTAAAAAGACCGTCTCCTCAGTCTCTTTATTAAGCCATGTTGGGGAAACTGGATGTGCCTATGCTGGAGCAGTAGCCAGGTAACTTCCCTCTAATGTGTACAGAAGTAATCTGAAACATGCCTGAAGGCCTAAAGGTAGCACCTGTAGCATGAGATTTCTATAGGGAAACACGAGGGAAAGTTCTTTTGGATAAGAGCCCCGTGCACAGGCAACAGAAGTGAAGGAGACAATCGGATTACATCAAAGTGAGAAGCTTCTGCACAGCAAGGCAGCTGCAGAGTTAAAAGCCAACCTAGAGAATGGGAGACAATATCTGTAAACTATCTAAAAGGGTCTCAATATGTGAATTCACTTTTAAAACAGGGTGAACATCTGAATAGACACTTCAAAAAATAAGATGTACATAATGCCAAGAAGTGTTGAAATATGCCCAGTATCCCTAATCCTCAGGAGATGCAGTTCAGAATCATAGTGAGATCCTTTCCAGCTCAGAAGGGCACCACCAAAAAGAGAAAAGGAAACCACAGAAGGTGGAGTAAGGGCAGTCCTAGCACAGTGTGATGGGAATGTAAACATTAGAGCCACTGTGGAGAAACACCGTGAAACTGTCTCAAAAAGCTGAACATAAAACCACCATTCAATTCAGATACTATCTACCTCACTACTAGAGACATGACCCAAGAAAATGAAATCCTGACGGCCCAGAGATATTTGCTCTCTGATGTTCACTGCAGCACTATTTTCAACATAGTAGTTAAAGTATAGAATCTGTGGAGCTCTCCATTAAGAGCTGAAGAACAATCGCGTATATTCACATCGAGTACTTTTTAGTCACAGAAATGAAATCCCGTCATGTGCAGCACTGGGATGGAACTGGAGGTCAGTAGGTTAGGTGAGGTAGGTGAGGCCTAGAAAGAGAAGTACTGCAGGTCCTCTCTTGTGTGTGGAAGCTCAACAGTCTGTCTCATGGAAGAAGGGGTGTAGGAGTGGTCACTGGGGACAGGAGGGGGAGGCAAGAGGAGAGATGCAGTTTCATAATGCACCCAAACTCAGATGTGGCTTCCTGGAGACGGTGCAGTAACTATTGGTTACAGAAATCTCTCAGGCATTCCAAGATAAGTAAAAGGTGTGAAATTCTGCTGCATCCCATGCAGCTCATGACGTTCCCAGAGTGAGCAGGGTGAGAGGATGGAGATAAAAGGACAGGAGTCAGATGCAGAAAACGGTGGCCAGATGGAGCCCTCTTTCCTGATGGGAGGGAAGGAGGAAGGAGGAGGAGAAGGAGGGAGAGTCCAAGGGCTGCAGGGCGTTTATTTATATACTTGGGACTATCACGTGCAACCCCTCCACCTAATAGCTTATCTACGTGGCTTGCCTGAGGTGCCCAAGTGTTCCTGATGCTGGTCTTGCTCTGGCTCACACGTGTGATTGTGATCAGTGTCCAGCTTCAGCTGCTTCCCACAATATTCATGCTTAACAAGGATTAACTGCGAAGCGATGGAAGTGCTTATTTCCTTAACTGGGTCATTACACACTGTGAACAAGTATGAAATTGCCGTAATGTACTGCATAAAGATGTACAAATATTGTGTTTTATTACATTTGAAGAAAATGAATAAAAGAGTTTATTTAAAAAATTGTCTGATCATGGGGGCAGCTGAAAATTCTCTATTGAGGTACCTAAACTTGTTGATTTGAAAAGACCACTGTCACTCAGATGAAGACATGGAAGACTTGTCAATTGCAAAGCCAGCTGCGCTGTTCCAGACACATTTACCGTGGTGATTATCAGTCAGCTTGTCTTCAAGTGATGAGTTGTGACAAACAACAGAACATGAATCCCACCAGGAGTAGTAAGTGAGGGCAGCGATGTTGGTCTGTTTCTAAAACACTAAAAGTCAATCAAAGACAGTAACAAGTAATAATAACAAAAACCACAACACTGGAAATGATGTAGAGCTTCACCATACAAGATGGTAGGAGTTCAACAATGGTTCTTATACTGCATATTGTTGTTTTCAGATCAGTCATTCTGACTGTCAGATCTTACATTCTTATATCTGGTGGGCTGCGCAACTTCGTTGAGGATAACAGTAGGTCATGTAGCAACCATTGTTAATTCCTGTCATTTTGTTTTGAGGTCATGTGTCATTTTTGTTGTTTTTGTGTTGTTTTGATTTTGTCTTTATTGTTCCTTTGTTAGTTTTCTTAATGTTTAAAATTTTAAAAAAAGTACTAAAAGTCAATCATGGTAAATTCACTAAATGAAAGCCATCAACCAAATACAGACTTCATACCAAGAAACCAAGTCTAGCCCCAGGGAAGGAAGTGTGATGGTTTTGTTGAAGGCGGTTCTCCTTTACCACAGAAAAGATTTATTTTTCCTCATGGATTTGAGGTTTCTGTCCCTGGCTGCTTGGTTCCTGGTTATAGAATGTCTGAGTGGGGAACAGGTGAGGTGTGAGCATCTCATGCTGCCCAGCAAGAGGGCAGAGACAGGAGTGAGGGAGAGAATGTCCCCCTCCAGATGCCTCCTAAAGTGTCCAGCACTGCCCAGTAGCCCATCAAGCTCTGAATGCACCAGTGGGTCAATCTGTCTATGATGTCATGGTGCTGATAACCCAATCACCTCCTAAAGGTTGCGCCCCTCAACCTTGCTGCACTGTGGACTAAGCCTTTAGCACATGAGCTTTTCAGAGAACCTTCAGATCCAAACCACAGCACAATCTTCAAATCTGACTGCTACATTTTTATTAGGAAAGTACCAACTTCATGTTCTGACATTTTAGATAAAAAAGGAGATTTAGTCTATATTCTAGAGGAGTGTGTGTATGCCTTGTCTCATCCTTGACCAGCCTGATTTTAACTTCTAACTATGAGGCACTCAGCCTAAAATAATTATGGTTCATTTTTATTGAACATGAGATAAGGCCTCATTTTTCATGCCTAGAAGGCCTTAAGAAGCTGCGTTGTCTTACATCCATAGCCTGATTCCAAATGCATGATCTGTATAACGTGCACTTACTCCCTCGACTACATTGGCTTGGAGGATTTGCACACTCCATCTGATTGAATCTCCATAGCAATGCAACAGGTGGGTGCTGTTAGTGCATTCAGATTGTCAGGGAAAGATTGCATTGTCTTATTAGAGGTGCAATAATGGTATAAACTGACAAGAAGTACAAAGGAAAATTACTTGTTAGGTCCAAGAGAGTGGAAGTGTTACCCTTTTCCCTCGTGAAGCATAATGACTCAAGTTGCAGGTGTATGATTTTGTTAGCTGACGTTTCAACAATTGAAGGCAAAACAGATGATGTAGTGTCATGTCAGTTCAGACTCCCACTTTGCAAGTTGGACTTCCTGAGCCCACCCAACAGGGTGACTTCTCTTGTTCCGAGGAGATTAAACCTTCCTCTTCCCAAGAAGGCTTAAGCAGAAGAGTGTATTTGTGTGTCAGGCATATAGGAGTAAAATGGTGATGTGTATTAATTAGAGAAGAGTACTGTAGATTTGAAATTTCAAGTCAGAAGAAGTGGTCCCTTTGATGGTACTTTCAGGTCATGAACAGTGTATTTTAACCTTTATTTTTAATCACATGCCAGATCATCGAAGTAAATGGCCTCTAACATATGTATAGCTCTCATGATTGAGTCTGTAAAATCCTAAATCTTTTGAAAGCAACTGAAAGATATATGCTATCATAAAATTATAAGCACCTACAGGTAACCCAGTGGTGTTTCATCTTTTGTAGGGGGCATCTACTGAAGATTGTATTCTTTAAAGCTGCTATGACATCCTTGTTTCTGAGGCTATAAATGAGAGGATTAAGCATGGGGGTAAGGATGGCGTTAAACATGAAGAGAGACTGGTTTAATTTGGGTGTCTTCGAGGAGCCAGGCCTCATGTAAACCAATATGGCAGGGCCGAAGTACAGTGTGACCACACAGAGGTGGGAGGAGCACGTGGCCAGAGCCTTGCTCCTGCCCTCAGGAGAGCTCATGCGGAGGACAGCAAGGAAGATGAGGGTGTAGGAGGCCAGGATGAGACTCAGGGGAATGAGAACCACCAGGAAGCAGGACACCACCACTGACTTCATGTATGAGGAAATGTCCTCACACGTCAGCTTTAACAGAGCTATTCCCTCACAGAGAAAGTGTGGGATTACTCTGGGGCGACAGATGGGGAAGTGCATGGCATAGGCAGTATGAACCAAGGAGGTGGCTCCTCCTCCTGCCCAGGACACTATGACCATCTGTGTGCAGAGGCTGCGGTTCATGATGATGGAGTACCTCAGGGGGTTACAGATGGCGATGTAGCGGTCATAGGCCATGAAGGTCAGCAGGAGGCACTCAGCAATTCCTAGGGTTAGACTAATAAAGATCTGGGCTCCACAGCCAACCTGTGATATGGTTCTCCTCCCTGAGAAGAAGTTTGTGGCCATTTTGGGGACAGTAGTTGAGATCAAAGTGAAGTCGATGAAGGACAGCTGGCTGAGCAGAATATACATGGGAGTGTGGAGTCGGGAATCCAGCCAGATGAGGAGAATGAGGACAGCATTGCCCATGACAGCCAGAAAGTAAACGAGAAGGATGAGGCAGATGAGGATAACGAGGTGGCGGGATTCAGGCCAGAGTCCCAGGAGGATGAAGTCTGTGGTGATCGTCTCATTGTCTCTCCCCATGGCCATGGCTGAGCACCATTGCCCTGGAAGTACAGGCAGGCGTGTCATAACGCATTACATGGTTCCTGTACAGCAAAGGAGACAGTCAGCAGAGCGAAGAGACAACCTAGAGCATGAGGAAAATGTTTCACAGTGCTATTCTGGTAGAGGACGAGTATCTGAAATCTATAAAGAATTAAAATTATTAACTGCCTGTCTTGGTTACTTTTCTCTCATTGCTGAGGCAAAATACCCAATGCCCAAAATGAAGGAAGGAAAGGTTTATTTAGCTTACAGTTTGTGGAGGTTTCAGTCCATACTTGGCTGGCTCCGAGGCAGAAGGTAATAAAGCAACAAGAGCAAAGAGGGGAATGGCAGCTGAACAGCAACGCAGCCAGAGCAAAAGGGAGGAATGGCTGCAAGCAGCTTCTTTCCCTGCCTTACTTTGTAAACAGGCTAACCCCACCTAAGGGGCGTGTAGCTCTCACATAATCTCCATGCCTTCCTCTTCCACAGGCTCAGGATGTATACAAAGTAAGCACCCTGGCTTCCTGCTGAGTCACTTAGCCAAACCTCTAGACTCCCCAAGTTGACACAATGTATCAACCATAACACTGCCCAAATCAAATGACCAGTGTACAAAAATGGGCAAATCATCTGAGTAAATGCTTCTTAAAGAAGTACAAATGGCCAATAAGTACACTGATAAAATGTTCAGTATCTTTGGGAAGTAGCAAAATGCAAATCAGAACAACCCCGGGGTTGTTCTGCCCTGGGGTTCTCATGCTCAGGTCAGAATGAGCATAATCAAAAAATAAATAATAGTAAATGATGACATGGATGTGGAGTTAAATAAAGTGCTCTACATAACTGGTGGGAATGTAAATCAGTAACCATTATAGAAATCAGTGTGGAGATTCCCTAAAGCTGAAAGTAAAAGTTCCACTTGAGCCAGCTGTATCTGTGCTGGTACATTCCTGAAAGATTTAGAGACATTATACTATAGTGAATAGCGAATCACAGTAGAACTTAGCACTTCATGCTCTACAGCTGAGCACAGCTCACAACAGTTAAGCTCGGCACACAACCTGGACACCTATCCATGGATACGTGAGTGAAGAGCATGTGAAATGTTAATTAGGCAAAAGAGGAGTGAAATCATGTCATCTGTGGAGAAATGATGGATCTTGAGACTATGATGTTAAATGAAATAAGTCAGACAAAGTAAAATATTCTTATATGAGAAACCTAAGATACAATGAATTGAGTAAAGAGGAGATGACAGGAAACATGAAGACAGCCTTCTTGGAGCTGGAGAAGGGGATCAGTCAGGGGTATGGGAAGTTGTGGAAGCAAACTGCCTGAAAATGGCCAAGCTATGTTATATGTGTGCACAAAGTAACCCTGACAAGCACCACTGTATGCATTGCAAACATACGATAAAGAGAAGCAAGACAGAATCATTTGTGCTGCTACTAAAGGAATAATGTAACATCAAATAACATATAACTATGCATCTCATCTACTCCTCCACTCCCAGGACACCCTGGAATGGACTTATACCAGCTTCTTTTCTTGTGGTGTCTTCAGCATAATGAATCATTTCTCAGCATTACAAGATTTGCATTTGTTTTCTCTTGTGGATTGCTTAGTAAACTTATCTATGTTATAAGCTGTAGACTTGGTCATAACTACTAATGAACAGACATATATTCCAATGTTTTCTCAACCAAAGGGCAAAAAATTTGCTGAAAATTTATTATAAATATTTCTTGAATAATCAACTCACCACTTTGAGTTCCTTTGTAGATGCATATTCAACAGAAGGGGCATTGTCACTTTGGATTTTGAAAAGTCATTATTTTCATTTAGACTTGTGAGGCATCATGGAAAATAAATATTTTCTTGAAGACGAAAAGTAGGAAACTCAATAACCTGAAAGGAGAAAAGTATTCTCAGAACTCAGTGTAGTCTGCGCTTATCTTCTCCATTGTACAAAGGGAATCTCTCCATTTTTTCATTCACAGGAAGTGCAAGTCTGTGATTGAAGTGATTTGAGATACCAGCTGGTGATGTACAGTGGAATGCAGGAAGTTATCATGGAGGAAATTGCTAGGGTATAGCTTGCAAAAGGCAGTTTCTTTAAAGCACAGAAATCTCAACTGAATTCTGGGTATAGTGGTGTAACGCTGTAATCCCAGCATTGAAGAGACTGAAGCAGAAGGATCACCCCAGGTTGGAGGCCAGCCTAGGGTACATAGGGAAACCCTGTCTCAACAACCAACCAACCAACCAACCAACCAACCAATCAACCAATGAACCAACCAATCAACCAACCAACCAACCAACCAACCAATCAACCAAGCAACCAAGCAACCAAGCAACTAATCATCAACCAACCAACCAACCAACCAATCAACCAACCAACCAAGCAACCAAACAACTAATCATTCTCCAACCAATCAACCAACCAACCAACCAATCAACCAACCAACCAACAAAAAAACCCCCAAAATAACAAAAAACCCACTCTCACCAAATAACAAACCGAGAAAATATCTCTTTGGTTAAGAAAGCTTTGGTTGGAACTTTGAAGTCTAGAAGCAGAGGTAGCATTATGTGTCAGTGCAAAGCACAGCCTCCTAGGCTTAGCCTCAAAGACTGTAGCTCTCTTTACCAAGTGACCACAAGGGCCACCTGATGACCATGGACAGCTTGGGTCATCCTTCTCTGTCTCTGTGAAATTGGGCTAAAACCTACCAGTCACACAAGCATGAGTTATAGATTTAAAAATTGATGGATGCAGAGTTTAGAATATTGCCAGGCCAGCAGCTCTTAGGCACTTGGCTACATTAAGACTAACTGAAATGTTGCTTTGCATAAATGTCGGAATTGTTGCCTTCAGGTTTCCTGCAGGTTCACCTGTCCCTCTAGTGTGCCCTTAAGAAGTGACCTCAAGCAGAAGAAATTAGAGATGGTGCATAAATGTGATAGGGGCAAGGGTGGTCAGTGGTCCCTGGCTTGGAGGCATATTTTTAAAACAGTTTGTGCAGGACAAGAATTCAGTTTTGCTTTAATCAAGTTTTATTACCCAAATTCAAAGTCCACTATCAAATGCTCTCCTTGGCCCGTGGTTCTCCCCGTTGCCGTTCATGTCTGTCTGTCTGTCTGTCTGTCTGTCTCTTTGGTTCACACAGTTTGCAGTTTGCCTTATAACACTTCAAACATATATCACTGGTACTGCCTTTATATACTGTTCATTTTTCAGAAGAGGAATTATGTTTTGTCTTAAATATTTTGAATGCCCAAGACTGCTTCCCTTGTACCTTGAAGAGACAGATGATTAATATTTGAACAAAAAATTGAATTTTTATGTTTTCTGCTTTAGCACTCTAGAGAAGTGAGTCACGGGATATTTGATCCATAGAGTTCCCTGAGCCTCCTGAATCACTTATCTGAAATTTCCTAAATATTCCTGATGAAAAAAAACCCCAGTAATATTTGTTAAAAATAAAAACACATCTCTCCTTTTTTAGACTTATTCACTAGTACACTCCAGATGATGCTTGTACTGCAATTAGGCCAGGTTGAGAAACACCAATTTATAGAATCTATCTCATATAAATAAGGGAATGAATGTGGTTGAGGTTGTAGCTCAGCCATGTTCATGTGGTAATAGTTTACTTGATACAGTAAATATGAGTGGAGATCCCTTTTGAGATATCTTCCAGCGATGCACACAATTGAAGGAATTTTTCACAGTGCACAGTTTTGGATCACAAGGCATAATCTTAAGACTAAGTACAGTGAGAATAATAATAATATCAAATGTCAGCATTTTGTCATAATTATATACATTTTCTTAATATTTGAGATAAGAATAGATTCACATAGATTAAGAATCTACACTCATTTTTCCTGTAGAAACACTGATGTTCAGAGGGATTGAATAGTTTTCCAGAGAGAGTCTGACTCTAGGGCTTGCACTCAACCTGAAGAGGAATGTTTCCTGAAGACACCGGCTAAGCAGAGGTAAGGTGATCTCTTGTCAAAATACAGACTTGGGAAGCACAGCCCAAACCTACTGAGGTGGCACTGGATATTTCAAGGGCGTTAGTTGAGTATGAAGACAAAGCAGGTTTAGAAATGCTGTAATGTCATATAATGCATGAATTGTCTCATAGGATGTATTTACCTCATCAATCACTGCAGTCCTTGTGATGAATCTCCCATTTGCATCTGTGGTTGTTACCTAGTTGCGTGTCTCTCTCCCTGAGAGTGTCAGAGCAGGAAGCCAGGTGGGGGGAAGCGAATCTTCACAGTATCATCTGTCTTGAGAGAGAAAGGACCTGGCAGAGTTGAGCTAATCTTCCTTGAGCTTGCTGCATTTTATGGTGGCCAGGGATGCTCTTGAGACATCTGCCTCTGCAGCCCTCAGCCCCTCCCAGGGCCCCAGCAGCGTGGAGAGAGGTTGCACAGGTAGCACCATGTGGTGTGTGTCTGACTGTGTCATCCTTGCTGTCTTAGATATCAACTTTGCCTGAGTTCAGTTTCAAAGCTGTCCTGAGAATATGAAGAAGAGGCATTATCCATATGCACAAGACTATTCTTCCTAATGCCAGAGTGGCTCGCTGACAGGGGAATGCACCTCATTATGGATGATGCAAGAGCTGGAAAAAAATCCTGAATCACGGCCAGCACATCTGATAGCTGTGGATTTAGCATGAGTTCCCATACCATCTCTGTCACAAAGGAAGTGTTGGACTAGATGGTCTAAATTCCACGGAACTGGCTCATGTGGCACTTGTTATATAAGTGGATGTTTCCTTGATTATCAAACATTTTAAATGTTGTATTATGGACAGCTTGTTGACTTTGCCTTGAGTTTTAATATTAATCTATCTCTATTGAATACACAGATTCTGTTTTTGATGTTTTTGCATCAATGTGCTAAGTCATACCAAATAAATAAGTACCCCTTTAACAGGATCAAATGATAAGGAAGGTATAGATCCCAGTCT